GAGTGAGTGAGTGAGTGAGTGAAAACTGTCATGGCTACTGAATAGGTTCATGGGGGGAGCGGGCTGTGTGCACAGAATGTAGTAAGGACAAACCTTAAATCTTTTAAAAGTACCAAGCAGCTACTTACTAGAGGAATACTTGTCTTTCATATTCCTGATTATTTATAGCCTAATTTATTTAAGCCATGGTACTTTCAGTCACGACATATACATTGAAGGTTACACAATGAATCAGAAACACAATAATGAATCCATTTGAATTATGGTCCTGGTGAATACTGAAAATACTATGGACTGCCAAAGGAATAAACAGATTTGAAGACGTACTGCCAGAATGCTCCTTAGAAGCAAGGGTGGCGAGACCTTGTCTCGCAGACTTTGGACATGTTATTAGACCAATCCCTTGAAAAGAATCAAGTTTGGTAGAGGGGCAGTGGGAAGAGGAAGGCTTTTGATCAGGTAGACTGGCAGTGGCTGCAACAATGGGCCAAAATATAATCAAGGTGAGGATGGTACAGGACCAGGCAGTTTTGGTTCTGGTGTAAATAAGATCCCTGAGGCAGAACTGACTAGACAGCACCTAACAATTCATTTACAAAAAGGGTAGTGCCTAGAGCTGCAGTTCTCCACCTGTGGGTGGTGACACCCCTTTGGGGGTGGAACGACCCTTTCACAGGGGTTGCCCAATACATGACAGTAGCAAAATGAAGGGTTGCAGCATTAGGAAGGTTGAGAACCACTGGCCTAGAGAGAGATCCACTTACAACTCTAGTAAAAAGTGGGTAAGGAAGAGGCATAACAAACCTTATTCCTCATTACTGCTTTCGTGCCCAGCTCATACTGAGACGTACCAAACGAATGAAGCAAGGCATTGAACTATCACAAAGAATATTAAAAGTTTAAGACTTGGCCAACTACTACATCCCTGGCAGCTGGTGCCCACTGCTTTCAGCCATGGCTGTGTAAGTCCTGGTGGATAGTCGGCGTTGTGCCTTCAGAAGAGAGGCATTTCAAACACTAGAAATACTGACCAAGATATTGATAATCTTCGTGGAAGCATAAGGACGAAGTATTTTTTTTAACTTTGCTATCAGAAGTTATACTTCCCAGATCATGGGCTTTTCATTTCAGACACTGAGAAATGTGTACTGTATTCCCCTCTGCATTGCAGCACTGAATGGCAATTTCCTGTAGCAGTGGATTATTCAGCAAAAGGCCAAGTTTAACATTAAAACTACATTGTCTGATCTACTTCTCTCCACATACTCCTAACTAGAGCTGGAGTTCTGATTCTAAAGCTTAGGATTCCAGGTCTCTCACAGCCATATAATTTCTTCTGCTGAGCCTTATCCTGTGTAAAGAATATTATACATGCCTAACAATTTGAAAATAAAAGTACATTTTTAAATGCAATTTTTAAAGGTGCATTAATACCAGTCTTTTACAGTTGTAATGAATGTTACTTGTTCCTTCCAAATCATCAATTTGTTTTCACTAAAACCCTATTTTCTAATTAAAAGTTCGAATTAAATCTTAAATAAATGGTCATTCCCCACAGCTGGAAACCCCCTCGGAGCAATAAACTTCCCTAGAATCGTAATAGAATCATCAGACTCGAAAGCAATGACTGGTGGGAAGACTATTATAGATTCCGCCGTTTTAAGGTGACTCAGGCTATTTCTGCCACCTGTTTTAATAACCGTGTACTGTATTGGTTTTGTAGTTAACTTCTGTACATGAAAGTCATTACACTTTGTGTTTAAGTGTGAGGATACCCAACTGTAAAACAAAATATTCCAAGTTCACTTACACAACACCCCCATGGCAGCCTAAACAAGTACTCTGGAAGCTTTCAAAAAATGTTTTTCGTATTTTGTACAAACAAGAGGCAGCAATCTTCCATAGCGAGGACTGAGTAAACCTGCAGAGAAACCACGATTCTGGAGGCAGATGATACTCTGTACTGTGATTCTCGCTGCACAAATCATAACAGGATCATCACTGCCAGACCGTTTGGAAAGCCACTTAAGCTATCCCACTGTAAGGTATCCTGACTACAGTTTTTATCAAAGGGAGGGGAGGTCAAGAAGCTGGGCAACCCGGAGCTTCAAAAAATCACAATTCTTACTTTTTCAGGGGGTAAATAATAGCATTTAAAGCCCACTTGTCCAATTCTTACTGTATTTGCAGAGCCAGTACTTTATCTTCTGAATTCTGAAACTGCTATGATCTACTTTATGTTATAAAAACAAAACCACGAAAAACTCCAGCCTTAATGATTTCAGTACTTGAACCCTTGGTTCTTTTCCATCAGTGGTGTTACCTGCCTATACGTTTTCTTTTTTACCAGTGTCATCTGAAAGGCTCTGTATATAAGCATAGTAAGTGTAGTAGGAGCTTACTTTTTCTTGTCTCCAGAGGAGGCCTACTCATAGCAACCTCATCCCTGATTCAGACACAGGCTCCCGGGGTTTTCAATGACGGTGACATTTTGGAAGTATACTACCAAGTCTTTCTTCTGTGGTGCCTCTGGATGGATTCAGACCAGCAACCTCTAGGTTAGCATAAACTTCACTGCTTGCTTGTGATACCCAGGGACTTCAAGAGCACTAGGCTCTCCTTGATAAACGTGCAACTTTGGCATCATTTGTATAACAGATACATCTTAATCATTTCAGAGTTGGTCTCAAATCAACACTATGCCTAAGGCTCATGTCAGACTATGAAATACAACTAATTTCCATATATTCCTTGACCCTTAAGTATTAGTGAGCAATAATCCTGCCCTTTTAAAAGTCCAATAGATTCCTAAAATTCTGTTTATCTCTAAGACAAGTACTCAGGACCCCAACATTCGTTTTTAAAAATGGTTTCACCTCAGAGGATGTATACACGAGGGAGTAATACTTGTATCTATTTTGTTAGAGCCTAACCCAATAGAAACCTGTAACAATGAAGTTTGTTTTCCTTATTTTCCTCACCGGTTTGAGAATTCATAAATTCAGAGAGGTTTCTGTAATTAGTTCTGAATGTGAAAGGTGATTCTAGGTGAAACCTCTCAAGAGTAAACTGGCACAGGAAAAGGGAAAAACCGGTAAGCCTGAAAAAAGGTCAAACACCAATAAGGATACATTTATTCCGGTGGATAGGGGACATATAATTAAATTACCCAGTACCATCGGCTGGGACATCCTTCATACATGCACACACTTGATGTTCTCTCATGGATAGTAATCTGCGTAAAGCTGAGGTCACAGCCTGCTTTGTATCTGAAATACCTTTAAAGGGCACCATAAATAAGCACACCGGGTATAAAATGTGAACAAAGACTATCTTTAAGGGACCACCTATCAATATTGGTTAATGACTCTGTAAAGGGCTTCCCAAAGTTTGTGGGTAAATTATCTTTTAATTGCATGATTCCAAGAACTTTGTGAAGAAACCTATTTTTTAAATGGAAAGCAATAACGATTCTCCATCATTATGAGGCTGTATCTGGAATTCCTATATTCAGTGGCACTGGCTCACCAACTTGGGGGTAGGAGATTTGATTTTCTTAAAGGAAATAAAAATATGAGAGTCTGGATGGATTTCATAAACATTCTCAACACCCATCCACCCAAGCTCTAAACCAGTAATATTTCCACCAATCGATATTATAAGATCCAGAAATAAGCCATATGAATTCATTGTATAAGACAGGTAAAAAAAGTCTCAAAATTAGGTAAACAAACAACAGCTATTACCACTTAATGACATTTTATTGGCATATGACAATTTACAAGGGTCCCTGTTGCATTATACAGCAGACTAAGAGTTGTTTAGCCATCTACATTCATTCTTCTTGGTTAGTTTTTTCAAATTGTTGATTCCAACATTGGTATTAACTGTGACAAAAAGGAATCTGAGTAATTCCTTGAAGTAGACTGCAACTGGAAAACTATCTTTGCTTTATATCACCACGATGTTGGAACGTATGCACACCTAAGAAAGAACTGAGTCACACCTTCTTAAACAGCCTTCTTAATCCTTTCTGGTTCATTTACCTTCCCTTTAGCAAACAAAAAGGAAGTCTGTCAATGCAGCTATCAATGAGTTCGTATTTCCTGGCACTTGTAAATAGGTATCATTAGCAAAAGGAACCATTCAGCTTTTATCATGTCATCAAATATGGAGTTAAAACTATGATTTAATAAAATACAGGTTACTTTATTTCCTTAGCTCTGAAATAGAAGATCACAGCAACATGGAGAAGAGTTTAACTGCAAAGTTCTCATCCTCGTTCTGTGTACTATATTCTGGTAGGATACTCCTTCCTCAGTTTTAATTATTTGAGAGAATAAAAGTAACCAAATCATTTATTTATATTAAAACAATGCTTTTGCACTTAAAATATAACTGCTCATAAAGACTTGGGAAACTTTAATTCCCACATTTAAACCATTTCTCAGCAAATCTGCTTTATCCTACTACCTTAAGCAGAATAAATCAGTATCTTTTTAGTCATGCATAGAATGATAGCATCTAACCAAAGAGTAACTGTGAAAATAAAAGTGGACTGTAAAAAACAAATGGTCACCAAATCTTTCTTGTGTTAAGGGTACAGCACATAATTTCTTTGAAGCTATTTCCACCAAATTAAAAAATTCCAGAATAAGAGAAAATAGGGGGAAATCATGCAACACTAAGAATATTAGGATCATAAGCATAGCATATACTGGTGTTTTATGTTTCTCCCCTATCAGCTGCTTTTACAGGCTCCTGTGGGAATAGTGCAAAAAGCATTGCAAATGATCAAAAATGAGGATGCAGACTCATATAAGCTCAAGATGTCAAAACATTTACATGAACAGAATACACAACATCTCTATTTAATGCCAACATATTCAACTAATTCAGATGCTGGATTAACTAAGAGGCGTTTGGTTGTCTTATGTGTGCGTGTAAGCGGACAGACTTGGCATTAAAATTTACTATTTCTGACTTCCATTCTTTTAAGAGCTATCAACAGAAGTATAAAAGGTGATGCAATTTTGAATGGAAAGATTATCTACCTGAATAGAGAGCCCTTAGGAATAAAAAGAGCCACTTTACAAAATGAAAAGAAATAGAAGGGAAAAGTAAAAACCATTATAGAGTGCTGCTGCAACAAGCCTCCTCCCAGAACTATTTATTGGTGACATTTGAAAACAAGTTACTTGAAATACAAATGAACAGTTGTGTTCCAGTAGCTTTTCTTACAATTACACTACAAACTAATGGGGTTCTGTATTTGACATCCAAATAAATAGTTAAGATATGAAATCAAGTACACTGTGTTAATGTGTCGAGTTATGCAGGATCTATCCCTCTTCTAGACCAACAAGCTTTCAGTTTTGCTCTGAGTTTTGTCATTCCTAAGACATCAATAGGAATGAATGGGACTTTGTTTTGCAATGATTACTGCAAACCAGTTTCCCCTCTCAAAGCTGCCATGTGAATCTGAAACGACGACTCAAACCGTAAATAAAAAGGAGAACATGAGTTTTGAACCCCCATAGGAAAGGCTGCTAAGAATGTTTCTAGAACCTCCAGCTAATTCACAAATTATGAATTGTTTTTAAAAAAGTTTGTAAATCATTGCTTGCTTTAAATTTCATCGTTTCAATTCTCTCAAACGTTTCCATCTGTTAACAGTTTGTTCTGTGGTATACTTCAAAAATTCATCACCCTACAGGGGTAGTGTTTGCAAATGAAGAAAAAAACGTTACACAGACGTATACAAATAAAATAATTAATGTGGCCTCTATAAGCAATTTCTGTTCAGATTTATTTTTATGTAGAGCTAAAGTTTACTTCAGAATAAAACATTAACAAACAGGGAAGGAAGAGAATCAGAACTTTCACAGAGCAGTACTTGACCATATCTTATAGACAAAGCAGAATTACAATGTATGTAACAAAAACAGCAAAGTTTTTTTTTTTAGGTTGATAGTTACAAATATGGTACTAACAATTTTCTACTTTATTTCAGTACAATTTTCAACATACAGTCTACTATTTTTCAAGATATTTAAAGTCTTAAAACAAAATATCTACTGACTACTTGCAAACAGTAAAATTTAAGTGAATGCTTACATTCTTATTTGAAAACAAAAATTAAGTAAAAAAAATATATGATGGGTGCAAGTTCTGTTCTGTTGTAAGGTTACTCCAGATGAACTATTCCTAAAAAGAGAAAGAAAATAAAGATTAACAAAGATGCAGACAGTAAAAATGAACTATAATTATTGTTGTTAAAAATTAAGTAATTTTAATTTTCCCTTTAAATCCACACTGAAGAAAAGACTGTTCTTACTAATTAGCTGGCGTGTCCTACCTTTTCTTCTGTGCGTCTATCCTTCTTTTCTTCAGCGTTGTCCATGGTCTCCTCATCGTCTTCAACGATCCCATCCCCTTGGTATTTGTCATGAGTCCATTTTGGACTGCTACCTGATTTTTTGAAGTTAAAGCGCCCTCTGCCACGTTGGAAAGTGCCACGACCTCTTCCTCTTTTGGCCCAATAATCCACACCATCATCTCTGTCATCATGCTACAGAAAGGTTAGAAACAATTATGAATGAAATGGCTTTTTCTAAAGGAAATGATTATTTCCCTCCATCAAGTCATGGTATTAGAATTTTCTGAAGATTGAGTATGAGATGGGTAATATAACACTAAAACAAAACCAATGAAACTGTACTTTTTCTTCAACAAGAACATATTAAATAAGTACAGTAATGCAATGAAGGCTGCAATTATTTATGCAACCTCACCTGCTAGATTATCACACTTTCATGGATCTGAACTTTGCCCTTTCATTAATTTTACCCTATTGCCTGAAATGAGATAAAATGACCAACATTTCTCCCTAAAAAATTACTTTAATCATAAAGATTTGGCGCAAGTCTTACGAAAAAATATCACCATATTATCATAACCTGATGAAATAAAATAGTTGACATCTTAATTAAACCCCAGATGTAGATCAGACTTCAAAATTTTACTGGAGAGATTTAATCTAGAGCAGTATGTATGATAGATATCATCAATGTTCTAGGCTAGGGAGTTTCTCATGATGTTTCCCAAGAGTTAATACCTCAGCCTTCCTTCAACGTTAACTACTTTATCACATTCCAACCTTAGTTCTTCACTCTCCAAATATAGATGTTCCTTAGATTGTTCCACTAAGCAAGACAATCTGCAAATGTGCAAAGTGCTTGGCTTTGTGGACAGCTATACAGGAGCATTCCATATCAAAAGTTAAATAATCGAAAAATGCTAGAGGCACGCTTCCTGTTACCCATCTCAACTTTAAACTAAAGGTTCTAACCCACAAAGTGAAAAATAAGGCAAACCTTTAAAAGACAGCTAGCATGTGGTCAACAAGATGGTGTGCCACTATTCACCAACTATCAAAAATGCACTAAAACTTTCTTTTAGTTTAACGTGATGAGTACTCTTTCCAAAGCACATATACTTTAGATGGGCCTTCTCCTTTAAGCTGAGCTCAGCATACATATAATCAACACACTATATGACAGCATTTAGCAATTTCTAATCATACTTTTTCTAAATCATTACTAGATCACCAGCTAGAGGTGTGTGCAACTGAGATGAAAAACGTTGTGAACTATCAAGTCTAACTTTCAGAACATCAGATAGACTCCAAGTTTAAACCCCAAAGAAGCTATTTAAAGAGTCTAGAGCACACTGAACAATGCCATCAGTTACATGCTCCCATGGGATTGGTAAACCAAACCTAGTTAGAGTCTGTATTCACAGATTTATGGGAAGAGCCAACAGGTTTTCAAAGTAGACAACATGGGTTTAAATCCTAACTCTGCCACTTAATACCAGTAAGGCAGTATTCTGGGCACTTCACATGTATTTATGCATGTAATCCTCACAACAACCCTGTGAAATAGATATTGTTACTACTGCAGTTTAAAAAAAAACAAACTCAGGCACTGAGACACTAACTTGTCCAAGACCTCCTATGATCATCACCCAGAGACATGCCCCAGACATCCTGGGAGCAGGCGAAGACTACCATATCATGTAGCTTAGCAGAAAAAGCAGTGGCAACAACCAAACACCAACAGTAACAGAGCAGTTACTTTTAGCTATTCAGCGATTTGAAACTGGCCAGAGAGAAGTGCAGCTTGAAGATGAAACTTCTTCAGGAAGGTATTGCTGGCAGCTCCCCAGTAAGATTTTTAATGCTAAGTGTACTAATTCACAACCATCAATTCTTATCCTTTGAATAGCACTAAAATAAACAATTATGAATTACTGCAGCCAATTAGTATGAGGCCAGAGATGTTAGCTGTTTATAAAGGAATCCATAATCATGACAAAATATGCGTTCCTCGTCCTACAGTGATATTTTTCAAAAGGTTGACCTATCCCAGTCCAATCCTTAACCGATTTTCCCATCACGGATTTCTTTTCTCCCTCAAAGATAGTATCAGATCAATATTTAATATGAACCACTTCAGTTCTTTACTTGCTTTACCTCTTCATACTCATTCCTCCAGAAAATTTCGGGTCTTAAATTAGACTGATATCCTTCCTGGAGTACTAATTGCTGAAAACATTATTCTATTTTTGTGGAAATCCAAAATTTGAAATGGGAATCTGCAGAAGATTGTAAAATGAATGTCACAAGCAGTTTACTACTGTAGAAAGACTACTACAGTGTTTAAGAACTCAAGCCATGGGTTCAAATCTTACTACTCAGACAAGGAGCCTTTCAACAAGTTCACAGAAAAATTCCTTTTTTCCACAAACTTTCAAAAGCTTTCTCTTATTACTCTGTCCAAGCTTTTCACTTCAAGTGTAAAAGTAGAGTCAAAACCTCAAAGCACTCAGGCAATACACATGAAAACACTTAGCATGATCCCTCAGATAATAAATAATCAGTGAATGTTAGCCATTAATATTCATTATCAATGTTTTACCAATATGGACAAAATGTCCACATTAAAGAACCTAGCCTGTAATTCTCAACCTCATTTTCTCTGCATTACACCTGTTTCTATTTCTTTGTATTAATGTGAACAAATCTGATAGACATATGCATGTTTTACAGAGACGTTTTTAAATGTAGTGCAGAATAAACCAAAAAGAACTCGCTGCTATGGGGTTGACTGACTTATAGGGCAGGGTCAACCCTACCTATTATCTTTATGGGAGCAGACAGCCTCATATTTCTACTCTAAAGTAACTCGTGAGTTGGAACAGCCAACCTTGAGGTTAGCAGCTCAATGTGTAGGACACATAGAAAATGTTACTGCAGCTTTGCAGTGGCTAGATTCCTAAAATCATTTTCTTCTCGATTAGTAAAAAGAATGCCTGTCTATAGTAACCTGAGTACATCCCAATTTAAAGTACAAGCTATGATGTGCCAGGTTTTGAAAGAATGCCATAGAAAACGGTCTGGTCGAAGTATGTCAAATATGGAAATGTCAAAGGTGGTAAATAATATTTGTTATCTTTGTTCACCTTTCATTTCTTACCTTTTGACCTTTCATACTTGGTTATTGTGCCTGAAACGTTTTACTGTCACTTCCTTCCTCCCCCCATCTTCTGTGTTTTATTATAGCTTTATTTGTGATCTAGGAGTAACCTGTAGATGTTTTCCTCTAGATTTATACTAAGAATTATCAATTAGACTACTCCACTGCAGTTAGTTCACATTCAACCTCTCCTGAAGGGAATTTCATCTCCAGTCTTCTTCCTCCCTCTCTGTTCACTATTTTAGATAAATCCCTCCCTCATTCCCAACTAGTGGGTTCTTGAGTGAATCCTCATCAATACTACTTTCTTAACTTGTTCCAAATCTAACACCTTAGACCTTAGTTCAGACCTTCGATTGCTATCAAATCTGTTTTCACAATCACGCTTTTCCTAAACTCTTATTATAACTCAAATTTATTAATAAGGTTTACGGGCTTCCACAATCAGGTTCCAGCAGGACTTTTTAAGTCTTTACTTTCCCCAATTTATACAAACCATCTAAGTACCGAAGTCCCCTTTGTGCCAGCTTGTTTCACTCCTGCTGATGCACATGGCTATATCTAAAGATCAAAATTCAAGCCAAGTTTATCTCTGAAATCTTTCCAAATCACTCTCCCCTTTCCAAAAATCTCCATTCCTCCTTTTGAAAGTCAACCTATGTGTTTACAAGGTTTTATCACCACACTAATTTGTCAGCAGAGCATTTGGAACCACATTTGTCTTTCCATCTTTAGTACTTTAACACATAGCATAAACTGCAATTTCTGACTGAATTTTTCCATTGAAAATAGATACAATGTTCGAACTTTGTACTACAAAAAAGGTCAAACAAACCAGCATTTTTACTTTTCAGGTTATGGACTCAAGGGTCTGAAACAAGTATAAATTTCTCCAAGAAAAGAGCATTTCGAGCAAATATTAATTCATAATATACTCTACAAGGCATTTTAACTTTTTCAGATTTCATGACCATTAAAGTACCAAATAAGGTGGCAACAAGTGAGACTAGTCTCCATTTTCTAGAAAAATTAGAGACATCTTCAGAGAGTAGCTCTTCCTTCCTTCAACAGCACATACACCAAACTCACTGTCGTCCAGTCGGGGCTGACACCTAGTGACCCACCAGGACAAGTACAACTGCCCTGTGGGTTTCCAAGGCTGTGACCATTCACGAGTAGAAAGTCCCATTTTCCCCCTTCTGACATTAAAATTAGCACCCCAACATGTAACCACAACACCACATATGCCAAAGATACTCAGATTAAATAATATTCATAATAGCTAAATAGAGACACAAATCTGTAAATCCTGTATTTTCCTCAAGTTCACATCAATCTCTCTGAAATATGACTTCTCTGAAAGTTATGAGGGAAAAAAAAATGAATGCTTCTGGTAATGGCTTTGGACTTGTTTAAATCTGTCTCTAAGATGCAGGATGCTCTTGCCCCATGCCAAAAGGTGGGACATCTTGATCTTTGCCTAAAGAATCCCTCAGGTCCTCCACCACCTCTAGCTGCATCCCTTGTAAATCACTTCACATAGACAGGGAAACTATCTTCACCACAAAAACCAGATCAGTGTAATCTAGTAACTTCTTCACAAGGTGATTTTTCACCTTCCTTTCACGCCAATGAGTCACCAGCCTCCACAAGATCCTTAATTACATGTATTTTAAAAGGATTTCTCCAGTATTTTTGTTTTATTTACAGTCATATGATGTAAGGTAATGTAAGGTAAATCTAAGTCATAAGTTCCCACCATTGACACTGTCTTAAAGACAGATATAAAACTGTACAAAGAACTACATATGCAAACTACAATGTAATCATCTCTGAAGATGGCTGTCAAATCAGACATACTTTTAGCTTACCCTGGGTTAGTCAAGATAAACAGGGCTAAAGGGACCCACATGTTCAAAACTACAAAGGGTTTCCACATTAAGATGAGATCATCTCAAAGTGGTGGATGTCTGTACTTAAAAATGTATTCACCCAGTATGCTTTGAAAATTAAGGCAAACCAAATAAACAGATTTCTAAAACCCACCAAGAAGTACTTCTTGCTCTTTGGGGTATATTCTGGATCCCATTCCTCTTCCTTCGGTCTCTTTTGAAAAGTAGTATTTGAGTTGTTTGGACCAGTATTTGTCCCAGCAAAAACTCCTCTGGCTCTTCCTCTGCCTCTAATTCGAAACTGATTAACATTAACAAAGTTGTTTAGTAATGCAATCAAAAGGTACTTAGTTACATGCAAACTGTAATTTACTGCAGTAACAAAAAACATATTCCCTACGTTCCTCCCTAATTGCATAGCCATTGAGGATGGTAACGGATGGCGATTTTATACCACAAGCAAAAAAACTTTGGCCTACTCAACTTAAAAAAATTATACTCAACTTAAGCTTTAGAATACTGTATTTTCATGGCCTCAACTAATACTATAAAATAGTCAAATTAGTGTTTTTCCCCCTTTTACAAGAATTCTCCATTTCCTTTGATATCAATGGAGCCTCAAATGTTCAAGCACACCTGTCACCATAAAAGCAAATCTCTTTTTCCCAAATGTTAACTGAAGGACCCTGACAATCCCCACTGGACACTTGAAGGGTATGAATGTTAATGAAGAAATTAAAGCAACAAGAAGATGCAAAGCTATGAAGCCATTCATAATTAAAGGTATGCATCGCTCAATTTCTGACTGGATAATGTCCAGCTACATATGCATTCATGGTCCCATAAATTTGGGGGCTGGGGTTGTTTTTAAAAAGAAAGCCACTCTTTTTGTTTACTATCTCCTATTAATGATTTTTAAGACCTCAAAACAAGACTCAGTGGGTCACAGGTGGACGAGGCAGAGGACATGGCACTAGGTACAGGCTCTTGGGCTTTGTCCAGAGAGCAGGCAAAGCAGAACAGCAGGCAGAGCTGGGCTCCCTCAGCATCCCCCTTGCTCACTTCCACTGGTTCCTCTGGCCTGTTGGCAGTTTGACAGCAGAAGCAGCAGCAGCAATGGCAGCAGTGTCTACAAAGCCAACCCACTGCAGGCCCCCTGGTTTTAATATGGTGTTCACACCATGTCCAAAACTCATAAGCCCCTATTCAGAGAACATATTGATGTAAAGCGATGCATACCTACATAAAAACTTTATGAAAGCATAGGGTGTACTAATGTCACATAGGGAGAAAATACTCTGTAACTGAAATCCACATATAAAATAAACAAGGACATAACAGGCAAAAATGAAAATCAGTTGTAATAGAAATTTGTAAAAAAGCTGTTTTAGAAATATTTCTACAAAAATTAACTAATTTTACGAAACTGAAAGCCCCTTTCCCTGATTATTCAATGAAAAATCTTGGACAACAGCAGTTAGTAATCTCAAAATCAAGAAAGTAATCCTCCAGATCTCAAAGTGGACTCTCTTAAATGAATGTGACATAACTTCCTTCTTCAAAATTAATAGTAGGAGTACTGATCACATAAGAGACACTCTAAAGCAGGCATCCTCAAACTGTAGCCCGCCAAGGACATTTTATCCGCTCACTGGGTGTTTTTGCCCTGTTTTTTCACTTCAAAATAAGATATGTGCAGTGTGCATAAGGATATGTTCATAGTTTTTTAAAAAACTATGGTCTGGCCCTCCAACGAGTCTGAGGGACAGTGAACTGGGCCCCTGTTTAAAGTTTGAGGACCCCTGCTCTAGAGCATATATTCAACTTTTCTGATGTACACCACCACAAGGTAAAGTCCTACCAAGTGACCAAAGACAATTTCAGAACTTACAAAGGTTCCTCGTGGTCGGCTAACTCCTGAAAAGCCAGAGTATTCTTTCAGTTCATGGTGAGTTTTAAATTCTTCTTCTCGTTCTTTCTTACTCTCCTTTTCTTCTCGAGAACTGGGAGAAGAGGGTGATGCTGAAGAGGATGAAGATCGAGAATGATCTTGCTCTCTACTTTTATGTTTACTGCAAAATAAAGAGAGAAAATAAAAGAGTATGTGACTTTTTAAAATCACAAAGACCCTGTTGAATCTTATAACAAAAGGGATATTTTTCAAGTGGAAAAAAAAACTATCCCCTATTAAAATTAGTGCATATGTAAAATGACTGGGTGTTAAACTTTGACACAATCTGTTGCCTTTCTTCAGTATTTGTTTTCCATTACTGAAAACTATGCTAGGGCCTGCCAGTTAGAAACTAGCAGCAAAACAAACTTTAAAAGTTCAGTTCTACAATACTTTTAACTCTTTTACTTCATTGTATTTTAAGGAAAGGGAAAGCAGCATAGGAAAAAGTAAGAATGTTCTTAAGGCCAAGTTCAAAATGACTGACTGCAGTGTGTACACCCTGGGTGAGAACAGCTGGTATGGTTTGGCCAAAACACCGTAATAGAAATAAAACGCATATATGACATTACCAATACAAGTGATAAATAAACAGCAAGTGAAATCCACCATTGACCTAATGAACAGCAAGAAGAGCAATTATCTCTAATAATACTTTGTATTCCTATTATTTATTTGGCTTTATGATCAAATTTACATGATTCTAATATAACACCCGAAAGGTCATACCTGCAGTAACTCTTACCACTGCTAACAGTATCCATGGAAACATTACTTCGAAAGACTAGCACACATTGCCATTTCATAAAAACTAAACCGTCCTCCCCCCCGTATCTCATGTTAAAAAAACCACTAGATATATTTAAAATTCTTGTACTCTGGGTGTTATGAGTTGAAAAAGTGCGGAATCAAGCATAACGAACCAAAGTTCTTACACAAACTGTTTCTAGAAATGCACTGCATTGAAGTCCAACCTCCTGATGTAGCCTGGATAATAGGACACATTAATTTGTCATTTTTTTTTTCAGTGTTAGCTTGCTATTCCAAAGTTTTTGTCCTCATCCACCATTAGCCGTGTAAAAGACAAATACATTTTTGCTGTAAAACAAATAATTTTAATTGTTTAAATTTAAACATTCGATTACACAGTCAAAATTGAAAGCAATTAAGCTGACAATTATTAAAAGGCTAATTAGAAGCTAAAACCTAACTCAGACAGTTTTAACAATTACCTGTCCTCTTTGTAAGATTTGTACTCCTTGTACTCTTTTGGCGTTTTCTCCTGCTTTCTTGATCCACTGGATTCCCTGGAGCCCTTGGAATCCCCTCGTTCTTTGCTTCTTTCTTTTCTACGACGGTCAATGTCATGCCGAAGATCAGCAGAATCACACCTTAGTTTTTTATCTCCCTATAAAAGACAGATGTAAAGCACAGATTTCAGGGGAGAAAAAAAGCAAAATAACATTTATAGTAAGATTTTATGCCAATTTCTAAACTGATATTTTAATATCAGAAAAGAATGGGTTACAATAGACTACATTCCTATAGTTTTGGTTTAAAAATGTATTTAATGTTTTTACAAAGCATCTGTATATAAATGTTGTACAACTTGAAAGTTGTTATAGACTAAAAAGGGAGCATTTTAGAGGTTTTTGCTCAAAATAATTCCTAATACTTTTTTTAACAGCAAAACAATACAATTTTTCAACTCGACACATTCTCATTAATCCATCATCCCTCCTTCCAAGTAACTCTTTTTAAAATTTTCAATTATAAATAGCTGGACAATAATAAAAAAATTATAATTTTGGTTGAGGTACAGCCTTTCTGTCCTATAAAGTTAAAGAGCCCTAGAATAATGTTCTCATTACTTAAACCTCAATATTATCAATCTCTTTCCAAATTAAGTTGATCAACCCAACAAAAGACACTTCAAACGTTAAGTACTCTAATTTCCATAACATGCAAGTGGAATGTAACTCATGAAACCAACTGCGTTTGAATAGGGATAAAAACAAAGCCAGAGAGAGATTATTCCCAATCCTGTACTCAGTATCTTGGGCCATATACTGCCCTTTCTCAAGTCAGGTATTGCAACGGACATTAGTTTAACTGGGTCACAATTCACCTCCTTCTTGTTCCATTGCTTTTTCAAATACTATATAATTTAGGAAGATGGAAAGAGGCATCTAGGAATGAAGAGAAATTATACATCAGTAAGATGCTAAGCAATGTGGACATCCTTGCTAGTATTCAACAGTAAGAAGCATTTACTCTGGGAAGTGTAGGTGTAATATTTATAATCATCCAAGAACTGAAAGTATATATATCCAAATGCTATCAACTACTCATTTTTTTGCACCCAAAGAGTAACAAAGAAAAAAATCTAATCAAGAGCAAAAATTGCCTAGTCATATAGTATTACAAAGCCCACTAATGCAAAGATTACATAAGTGAAAATACTTTGTAAATGGCAAACTATATACACATTGATTATATATTATTAACATACATGTTAACTGTTAATTCAGAAAGATGAAGGATAAAAAACCATGTCGTGGCCTCTCATCCATCTATCAGTTACCCCTTTCTTCCAGATCAAAATCTGGTCTCAATTACTAAGAGAGGAGGTAAGAATCTCAATGTCAAAGCACATGAATAGACTAAATAGTTGGGAAAACAAAATTAATCGACATTCAATCCAAAGTATTTACAGTAAAAGCCAAAGAGTACTCCAATTTGAAAATCTATTTTTCCATTATCAGTATGTCTATGCAAAGCAACCACTTTCTTTGTAGTATGCCAAGTTAAAACAACGTGTACATTACTGTTGGCTGTTAATAATAGTCCAATTTATGAATCTAATTATTAAATACCTGTGCAGAACAAGCCATTTTTATTACTCTCATTTTTCTGATTAGAAAACCAAGATTCATTAAAGTAAGTGATTTCCCCAGGATATGAAATACTTAGAAAACTTGGGATAGGGAACCAACCAGTACTTACAAAGCCCTTTAGTCATTTTTTAATACAACATACAGTTGCTTTTTTTCTACCTTTCCCTGTAATTCTACTACTAGATGCCTTATGACTGATCATACAGACAAGTCCACGTAGAAAATTCCTATAGCTATAGCCTTACTTATTGATGACCTCATTTATGACAACAGTAGAAAGTACTACCTGACAAACTTGCCCATAACAGTATATTTATAGAAGTAACTAACACTGAGAGGTGTGGCAAGAGCAACACTAGCTGTGAAAGTTACAGTTCTGTGTCAAAGTGGCTGGGCTATGATTCTTAGTCATTTGACAAGTGTGTAATCTGGCAATTGTGTAATCATGTAGTCATCCTACTTTGTAATCCGATGTGGTCACCTCCATTTTGAAATAACATCCATTTTTATATAACTACTTGATCTTTAGAATCTAACTATGTCTAACCTAGGTGTATGTAAAATTAAAAGATAACAAACATTCCACACACCCCAACCACTGCATTCCATTCCATTCGAGCCCTGTTCCTGGATCCTACACAGCCTTCCTTTCCCCATTCACAGCTTTCCCCCATCCAGATTCCAATAGTGACAACTTATTTTCCCTAATGTTCATTTGTAAATCAGTTCTTAAAATGCTTTGTGCCCTCTGTTGCCAGGATTAAAAATACCAGTACCATGAGTATTACTACTACTTGTTCTTGGTGGAAAACCTAGAGATACTTTTTAGAATGAGCATTTTACTCTAAGGTTGTCTATTTCACCAAACACTATAGAAATCCCAATATAATTTCCATTCTTCGTCTAGTTAGATTTTTTACCTAATTCCTTTCACTACCATTTTGAAGCACTCTTGTTTTATTTATAACAATTCTTGAAATGTTAATTTCCTCTAGGAAGGAATGCTGACTACATTAATACAAACAATTAGAAGATATCTATGGACATTTTGATCTGTTACACTATAGTGCAATGTCATTTGAGAATAAGTTAACATGGAGAAAAAAGTACATTCAAAAACATACCTTTTGATTTTCTTCTTTAAAAACTCTCTCTTCCCCGGCTAAACGGGTATGCTTCCTCAGGGCACTTGGAGAGATGTCAATTCTCCTTAATGCAAAATAGTTATTTGTGGGTCACTTTGACTTTAAAGCTCCAGACATTTCTCAGTATTATCTATTTGTGGTAAAGAAATACTAGAGGCAATTATTTCTCCCCCTAATTGACTTACTTAGCATAATACGACTATCCAACCAATTTCTATTCATCAGCTAGAATAAAATAGGCAATAATCATTAAGAACAAATTAAAATGATTCAACCATATATTTATATATCTATAAACGAAACCTATGCTTTGAAAACACCCAAACTTCTAATTATCTAAAATGGAAAATGTGGTTTTAATTTATCATTTTAGATATCAACTTATCGAGTAATATAATACACCAGCACCCTCTATAAGCACTTAAGCACTGGATTATTTTTATTAGTCCAGTATTTTTACATATTCATCAGCGCATCTTTCTGTGCCTTCCCTTGTTAGTATCACAGGCAATCTTCAATTTGACTATCTTTCAAAGTTGAATTTTGTATATATAAAATTTTATTTTGTAGATATAAAAGGGGATAATCGTAGATTCAATAGCTTATTCACATGGCAATTCAAGTGCAGAGCCACAATTGGAGTGTAATTGCCTGGCGTTAAGCATTCATGTCCCTTTCACCATGCATTTTCATTTTACAACAGGCCTTCTGGGAGTGAATTCAAGCCTAACTATAGGCATCTATCTACCTTCTCCTACTCCACCTTCTCCCCACTCCCAACCCAAAAGGAATGGTAAGAATCTAATTCCATACTGTGACGTGACAAAAATTAACATTTTTAAGTTCTAATATCCAGTTTTAACCAAGTAACCTGAAAATTAAGAAGAAACAGTAAATTATAAAACTTTCATACCTAGAAATATTTATTTAATGGATAAATAAGGAGTAATCAAAGTTCATTGTTAAATTTCATAGCATACTTCCAATGTAATCTTATATAAACAGAGTGTTCCTAGCAAAGCATTTTTATATGCCATTTCAATACATACCTGTGTATCTCAGGGCTCTTTTGCCGGGCACTATGTTCTTCAGTGGCTTTCTGATATGATGTGAACCTCTCGTTTAGGGTCACTGCAGCTGATTTGAAGTATTGTTCTGTTGATTTAGGAGAAATACTGTCCTATTAGTTACTTTTACTTTAAAAGAGATTTTGCACTTGTGACAGAAAGCCACGTAGCAGGTAAAAATAAAGTTCAAATGCTCAAGAGACCTAGCAGAAGAGAACCAAGTGTTACATAGAATCACTACCCTTTTCATTTTAAATTCTTGTAATACTGAGAAAGCGCCAGTGCAAAGTGCCTCACAGGCCCCTCTCAAAGCCATATATAATCCAAGGACCACAAATTAAATCAACAGTCTGTAAACCACTACATACATCATCAATCAATATAAAAAGAGACAATGGATGCCCTTACACCCGAATGAACCATTGAAGTTACCTCAAGTAACCATTTGCAGAACACAAAAAAACACTGAATTAACTACAAAGCTGGCTTCTGTAAATAAAACTATTTCAAGAATTGTGTTGATATAATCCATAAAAAATGGATTTAAGAAAAAAACTGAATACTGTCATTTCAAATGGGTAGATATTTCTTTAGAATCAACACTCATGAATTATTCCAAAAGATCTGGCATCTTGGCAAACATGACGGCACATTTGATATTGTTATCATGCCTTTCTTTAAGTAAATTTTAAAATTATTACTGTCAGTACTGATTAGTTTTAAATCAGTTCAAGAGATAAGCTAAGAAATGTAAAACGGACGTATAAAGTCATGAGCTATGAAATGTTACATTATGAAGCAAGCTATCTGCTTAACAGGTCAACATACATCTGTGTCAACTTACCGCCCAATATCCAGCAAATGTCTCATAACCAATCATTAAAACTTGTAATGGCCACTACAAGGGTAGTGCCTCAATCATAATTCCATGAAACCCAGGAATTTGAGCTAGTAACTCTGTTTTTATGCCATTTTTGCCAGGAAGACAGAAGATTCAACTTTGCCTGTATCTTTCAACAGCTATTTTACTTTGAAACATGGATTTTGCCATTTCAAAACATATTCCAGGACCTATTTACAATGAAAAAGAAAACATCACTGGGCATTTTCAGCTCTATATAAAGTAAGAGCTGTTCAGATCGGTTGCACAACATGAATAATGAAACGTAACTTCAGTTCTTTTAAAAAGGGAAAAATAAAAGGGAAAAATATTTTTATCAAAATGTGATCTCAAAATTCAGCAGCAAATTATAAAATGGGGACAAGTCCAAAAAAGCAAAAAATGTAAAAATTTAATGTTTCATATTTCCTTTACCATAGTAATAGGGTCATAAACTGGTTCTCAAACCTATTTAAAAGCCAAGTAACAAAATTCTCTTATGTTATCATGTTTAAATAATTAACAGTAAAAAAACAGTATGTATTGGATATATAAGTGCACAAAGAAAAGGTTCTACTATGATAATGAATTACTCATGTCAAAAAATAAAAAATTGGGGGAAAAAAGGAAAGATGAAGACCAACAGCCACAAAAGGTTCCAGGAAAAGAACCTAGTAAGTTGTCTTTTGAAATTTTAAACACAAAGGTAAAATAAAAGGCAAACAAAAACAAAAACTTGACCTAATTGCCCAAAATGTCATCCCTTAAAATTTTTGAAATTACGTAATTTTGAAACTAGAAACACTTACTAGTGAATAGAAAAGGACTGCCTTCAGTTAAAATGAACACCCTTATCTTTAATATCTGAAAAAAGTCATCATTAACCACTAATAAAAGTTAAATTATAACCTACTCACTCGTCATCTAGTCACTATATACTTTAAAAATATCAACATTTCTGGTCCATTTACCATCATTAAACAAAAAGCTAAGTATGATAAGAAGTTGAAGCAGCACATGAAAACATGCTGGGAAGTTAATACCGGTTTTCCATTAGTTTCAGGTTTCTTTAGAAGTTTTAGGTAATTCTTAGTAAATAATATTCAGCAACAACCACTGTGTTTTGAATCTATGCCAAGGGCACACTACACCAAACACTAGCATGCAACAAAAGATAATCCATAAACATTCTGCACTTCACATAAATCAGGTACAGCGGATGACACACTACAATATAGACCGTCTGCATTAGATCTACATCATGTTTCCTTATAATATAGATTCTTATGGCATGTTTTAACTCTGGGTAGTGTTTAGATCACCTTTTGTTAAATACCTTCATGAATTTCATTACTAACTAAGCAAGACTAATTTCTCTTTCATGAGACTGTTCTTAATCAAAATTTTAAGAGTCCTTGCTTGTGCATCTACTCCTTGACGATATTAATAACTAACCCAACTACTACTCTTTAGGGTTTTTGTCTTTACTTTCCAAAAAAAAATGTAATTCACAATACTAAGCATACCTTTAACATGATGAACCAAGGACACAATGTGTTGAATAAACGACTCTGACGTGCTTTTGCTGGCCTGTGGCAACTTAATGTGGTCAAAGATGGACCGGAATTCTTGCTCCTTCTTGACAGAATGGACAAGTGTACTAGCAAGTAGCCTGTCTTTAGTCAAGGAAGCAGGTCTGGAACGTGTAACAAACACAAAAACAAAATATATCATTGGTTTCAATCCCAAAATGCTATGTTCAAAACATAATATAGCTAACTAGGATATTACCGGTAACTCCCCACCCATAAGTTATTATTTACTGAGCATCAATGTGGAATTCATTACCTGTTAGAATCATCAAGAGGAACGGGGGCCATTTTGAGTTTGACTTCAGGGCGATGAGAATCGCTGGCTATCATTTTGATCCTAAGTGGGCTCTCCTCTCTGAAGGTAGACTTTTCTCGTACATCCAGATTCTTGTGTAGAGGGGGACTGTAATCAAAGAGGTCTTTGAGCTTTTCAGACTTTACCTGCTCAGGTGACTGAGTTTCTTTCTTTACTGTTATTCTCTCAGAACTTTTGTCGTCTTCCTTGTGCTTATCTTTTGTGGTGCTAGGCCTTTCCACTATGTATCCAGTCTCTTTAAGTTTATAGTTTTTTTCTTCTCTAAATCCATCACTTTCTCTATTGCCTTTTAGTGAAACTTTAGACTTGTACTTGGGTCCTTCCTCCTCAGCATTCCGGTGAGATGTAGTAGCAAAATTTTTACCCTGATCTGCAAGGACTGACTTCCTGAACTGTCTATAATCCTCTGTCTCCTCTGTGTCATCCCCTTCTGAATCATTAAACTTCTGTTTTCCAGACTCTTTATCACTGAAGTAATCTAGGGCTTCCTGATCTTCCCATTCTCCCTCTGCCCTCCCTTTCTCTGATCCTTTCTCCTTTGGAGTCTCTTTATCCCTGGTATTACCCCTATCAAGCAGGAATACTCTAGACTCTTCATCTGTGAACCTGTAAATAATAAGCAAAGAAGAGGGTGGTAACTCTGGATTGCATTCACTGCAGATGATCCGCATGCTTAAATTTGTTGTCCAACATCACAGGACCAGTAAAATAAAAAGTCCTACTGAAAAATGCTTTATCAAGCCATGCATATAGAAGTGATTGAAAATGTACAGAGTACATTACTGATTTTCAAAGTAAATTTACTTATTAGGCTTCCTGAAATTTCAAAAGCCATGCTCAAAAATTCTTATATTTAGTCACAGACTACGACTCTGCATTAACAAATGCAAATTTCTACAAGGGCCGTACAACTTACAATACAGCCTAAATTTAATTTTTGGCACTTAGAACCATTAATAGAAACATATGTATTAGAATTTTTCCTTCAATCTCCTAAAAATTTCAGACTGTTTCATTTATTAATATACACGAGTGATCACAAAAATGTATTTCAATGAGAATGTTTTTAATATTCTTTATCTGAAATCACAAAATAACTCATATACATTGTTCAAGAAAAAATCATATCTGCCAATATTAAGTTGAAACAGTATCAGTTCAAGAAAAAATTAAGTCTAGTAGATTGTCCAGTATTATACCATAAACAGCAAGTTAATCACACTAGATAAACAACCAATTTTCATTATGCTGTTTACCAACTCTAATGAACACTTAAAACCTGAACACAAAACACCTATCCATATCAGTTCATCAGGTGAGCAACATCTTTTCTTAATCAAATGAATAAAAATTGATAGCTGGGCTATTTAAAGTACCACCCAAGTAAGAATCGCATCATGTAAATTTGTTATTTAGGTCACATTCAAGAAGGGATGAGAAAACAAGCTTTTTGAACTCGCAACATTTTAAAATACAATCTGGAATGACAGTATAAAAAAGGAAATCATGAGCAAAAACCACTAGTTAAATGTATACATACTTCAATGAAATGTAGTCTTACGAAATTCAATTATAAGTATCAATAGTATTGCCTAACATTACTTTATTCTTACCTTTTTAAGAACTTTCCAGTCTTTGCAGTGTCCTGATCTCCACCATCAGGATAAAACGAGGAACGCCCTCTAGCTTCATCTCTTGGAACATTTTGTGGTGTGATTGTCTTTGCAGGGCTTCTTCGAGAAGGGATGTGATGAATTGGACTATTCTGAGAAGGACTGTATCGACTAGACCCATTTCCAACGGACCCAGACCCAGACCTTTCAGGACTATGCTGAATGGAATGTGAATGCTGAGAGGGGGTGTTTTTTGCAGAGTGGACTGTACTGAGCATGGGGGCATCAGAGCAAGAGGAGCTCTGACTAGGTGGTGTAGCAATAGGTGAAGGACTATGGGGTGATCTGGGGCTATTATCATAAGCTGAAAGGCCAGCCCAAATATCACCAGATGCGGCTGACTTATTAAATTCATCAACAGATTCAGATGGGTCATGTTCAAATGTATCTTTTGGTTCCTCCTGTGATTTACTTTTCAAAGGACTCTCTTCTTGAGGCTCCCCTTCAGCTTTTTTGGTTTGCTTTTCCTGAGACCCTCTTCGCTTAGACACAGGTGATTTGCTATATGGGGATGAAGATCGAGAAGATGATGATCTTGGAGACCTAGAGGATCTATATGACCGGCGAGATCTGCTTCGGGATCTCTGCGAAGAAACAGATCTTCTTTTGGGACTTCTGGAACGTGACCGGCCTCTTCTAGGACTCCTAGAGTGTCTTCTATTCCAGACAGGTCTATAGCCACCTCGATGATATCTACCTCCTCCTCCTTGATAATACCCTCTACCCCTTCCTCTGTACCCATAAGGTCTTCTCATTCCTCTATTATTTCTGTAATCTCGACGATAATCTCTAGAATAAATGCGATCCCTACTACGAGATCTTGAATATGTCCTGGAACGAGACCTAGAACTAAAAATGAAATAAATATCAATGCAAGAAAAACACTTCCATTCTACCATTCTAAAAATTGCTGAGTAAAACATTTAAGTAAATTATAAAACCTAACAGTATACATGAACAAATCCTCAGACAAAAGAAAAAGCTAGCATTTTCAATGAAAAGAGCTTCGTTTCAAAGGTCGATACTGAAAATAAAGGACCTTAGAAATGAAAGCTCAAAAAAACAGGGCGTGGAGGAGAAATCAACCCATCTAACTATGAGACAGATTGTAAAGCATAGTGTATCTATGAAAACATTAAATTTATTACTATTAGAAGAAAAAACAACCTGAATGGTCAATTTAAAACAAATGAAAAAAATTTATTGAGGAGCCCCCCACTCCCCAATCAAAATGAGAAACTGAAAAAAAAACATATTGTCTACTGTCAAATAGTTCTGTGTTATCTAATTAAACTCTTGATTAAGCTTATGGATAAATGCAAAGAAACCCACCAAGTATGAGCACAATGTAGTAAGAATCTGAGACAGGGAGTCAGGCTAACTGTATTCAAATAAATACTCTATGCTATTTAATTAGTTACAACTTGAGCAATTCTCAACTTCTCTAACACTAAAATGAGGATAAGGTTCATTTGAGAATAAAAATTACAGGATCAGTATTCGGTCTATAGAATAAGCACTCACTAAGTATTAACTGGCATGCTCATCAAGATTAAAATACTTAAAATTACATAAATTCACCTGTATCTCTTCTTTCTAGAGTGTGACCTTGATCGTGATCGAGAACTAGACTGTGATCTAGACTTTGATCTTGAAGAATGGGATCTAGAATTTGACCGACCCATCTTTTGCTCCTAGTCAAATGAAAAAGTAAAAAAGGTTAAAATTACAACATGATTATAAAGATGTCATTCAACATTACCATTGTCCTCAAATAAATATTTAGAAGATCATCAATTATCCCTACTAAAAGTGTATTTTCACCTGTGTGGTCGACCCTGTATACTGAAGACAAAGATTTCTGTGCACTGCCCCACCTATGTGCCTTAAACCAAAAAGGGAGTAGCTGCAGAAGCCAGAAAGAACAGTATCAGACTGTAGCAACATGTTAGATGTTATTCCACGCCCAATACAAATGCCTACCTCTCCTGAAAAAGATAAATAGCATCAAAGTATTACAAATAAGGAAGCTGAAACAAGGAGAATAAAATGGCACATTACTATAGAAAAAAATAAACCTACCAGAATGTAATCATAGGCACTTTATGACCTTGCAAAGGGACTAAACTGAGCATATCAAATACATACTATCTCAGTGGTTCTGGCTGCGTCTCCTAGGAGAATAAGGCACTAATTCTCTGAACAACTAGAGCTAGCGTTCACTCACTCTCACACAGGAGCATGACTCTGCTCTCAGCTATCATGACAGTAGAATGAAAATGTGACAATATCTAGTCTCCTCTAGCTTTCTGGTAAGAAGATGAAAAGAAATAAAGAAATTAGATTACTGCAAGACAGATATATATTAGAACCATGAAGAAAAGAAAACTGGGACCGTGACATGTTTTTTAAACACAACAGTACAAAATCAGTAACAGTACAATTGATTTATAAGATTTGCTTTCTATAAAACTATTAAATGCAATATACATAAGAGGACTTCAAAAAGTTCATAGGAAAATGTAATCAAAATATAATGAAATTTTCCCAAACTTTTCGAAGCCCTCATATATATAAAATCATTGCACTCCATTCCAAATTTTCAGTTTTTCAATGATCCTTAAGTATACTTTTGCTACAGATACCTACTCTCAAATTTGTACTTTATTACTATAAATTGTTTTCCTAAAATTCAACTATTAAATGTTTAAGTCTGTAATTCCCATACATTTAAATCATTTTTCCTACAACCCAGTAATTTTGAAGGCCTCACTTTATCTAAACTTTGTTTACTATTGTGAAATAGCCATCTGTAAGAACTGAGGTATGAGTATCATTTGCATACTTTCTCCTTAAAGAACTTAAATGACAAAGTCAAAGGTTTCAGATAAGTATTTCAAAATAAAACATAACTTCCTCTATTAGACAAACGAACACCTTTGTCTTCTACTCTTATTCTTCTCCTCAACCCAAGTAACCAAGAAAGACAAAAAGAACAAACTGTAGGTTTGGAATTTTTAAAATGTGGGATAAGACCTGCAACAGGCATAAAGCAAATTTAGGAGTTAGTACAGGGAGACCTAAGAGAATACAAGACAAATTTAACAACGCAAACTCTGTAATTTTATTATGACAATGTAATGAAACTGATAAAAAAATATATTTTCATTTTGAAATATATGTGGACCTTTGGGGAATTTTTGATAGTTTATGCTATTTGCTTTCAAAATACTGCTTCCCCAGTTTTACTTATATAACTTGCATTCGGTACAGTTCAATTAACATCAGAAATTTGAATTCTTTCAATTCTGAAATACATGGACACACTCTAAGAATTAAACCTGGACAGCAAATGGTTTTGTGGCTCTCAGGGAAAGGCAAAACTGCAATTAATTTTTTTAGAAAGAAATACTTTCAAGGCACTAACGCTTAGAAAAAGGTGCTGGGCTACACTTATAGGTCTAAAATCTGTTCTTATGTTTCCTAAGCTTACTGAAACTAATTTCTGGTAGGTGATTCATAAATTTTCTAGGTTTTTCAATCCGGAACACCTTGATTAGGAAGGAAAAAAAAAAAAAAAAATCGTTGGGGTAGAAAGATAGATTCAAGATTTCACTCCTCAGTACTTCTTACAGCACCACCATCTAATCAGTATTACCCATGGCACCATTAACTAAAGCCTGGGGTTGGACTGCTAATCCAGACCCCTCCCCAAACAGATTCAAAGCCACCAGCTGCTCCATGGGAGAAAGATAAGGTTGTCTTCTCCCTTAACAGCTTCAGAAGCTCTACATAGAATGAATCAAAAACAACTTGATGACAGCGGGTTTGTTTTTATGGTTTGTTTTATCCACTGGTCTGGTACTTGGTGAAGACAAGAACAATGCCTTTTGACTTTTTATTTACTGATATCCCAGGTTGTAGCACAGCTAGAGAGATATATAGGCAGAACCTGGGGAAATTTCTTTTTAAGCAACACATTTTCTATTACATTGGCACACCTGAAATTTCAAAGTACATACTAAGAAAGCATATTTGTCCTCTTACAACAAATATACTCAGCTAAAAGAGCTAACGTGGCCTCTGCCATTATACTAACCAAAGCCAAAGCCACTGCCATCAGGTCTATTGCAACCCATAGTGGACCAAGCAGAATCGCTCCATAGGCTTTCTAAAGCTGTAAATTTTATGGAAACAAGCCCCACCCCCACCCCCGTCTTTCTCCTGGTGGGTGTTTTAGCCACTGCACATTCAGGGCTCTATGCTTCCTTAGCTGTGTGACTTTGCGTATAATTCCTTAAACTTCTTTGTAACTCAGTTTCTTCATCTGTGAAATTAAAGAAAATAACCATGCTTCATTTAACTGTTGAAAGACTAAAATAAGTACATGTAAAATACATTTAATAAAGTATGGCACTCTTCTTGTTTAGGGAAAATGTGTTAGACAAGTATGGTATTTTGTTTTACTTTTAAATAGCTTGATGTGTGTTTCAAGTCTTAATATTGAAATGAAAATAGATGCAGTAGACAGACTTTCCTAAGACTAACTTTTAAAATATGGTTTACGTCATAAAAGTCACTAAAACCAAAAGATTTCAGATCACATCCTTTCTAATCATTCAATATGAATCCTTTCTTTAGCAGCCACATTTTCCCAAGTAAGTCAAAATTGAAAAGTAAGTATTTACCTGGAGCTTTATTTACTCAGGACCAAGCAATCAAGTGAAGTCTTTGAGATGTGTCAAATTCTTCCTGGAGACAATGTTCTGAGAAATTAAATTCTAAATTCAAATTCCTAGCAAAAATAAAACGAGGTTGATTTAAGGTTAATTGTGTCACAAAGCATCTCACTGAGTACTTCAGTAAATGCTAATAACAGCACTTATGACTTATGGGTAGAGAAAAGTGAATGAGGGTATAGCAAACGTACTAACCATTAAAAAACCTCAACTATTCTTTAAAATTACAATACGTGGTAGTATATCATGAAATTGACAGCACCATAGCATGTTATCGTAAATACATGAAATAACTGTAGCAATTTGGGCATCTGAAAAGCAGAAGTTATCGTATCCTATCAGGAAATTCCTAAGTAGATAAGCAATGTCATCTGAATATATGATATACTCACAATGCTGCAATTTTTCACTTATATGAGACACTTAAGTTTATTTTAATTCAGTGACTTATTCTTAGGACTTCCTTTCACTGATTGTTTTATCTGAAACTGTTTTTTTTTAATTCACACAAAATTCATCCCAGTATCTCAAAACTATGCATAAAGCACTGTTATGGACACTCTCAAAATACACAGCAAATGAAGCAACTATTTAGTAGAAAGCAATACTTCTAAATCAACATTAAGCAAGTAAATTTAATTCTTCACAAAATATGAACTAAATATAGTGACGAAATCCTGGTGGCACAGTGTTTAGGCACTCTGCTCATCAAAAGGATATTGGTTCAGACACCAGTTGCTCACCAAGGAAGACGAACGTGGCAGGTAGTCTGCTTCTGTAAAGACTGCCAGCACTGGGAACCCTATGGGGCAGTTCTGGATGGTCCAACAGGGTCACACTGAGTTGTAAGTGACTCAACAGCACGAATATTGACAGCCTTGTGAGTAATAGTGGTTTTCTATTCCAGTGGTCAAAAAAAACAAAACCAAGCCCACTGCCGTAAGTACATTCTGACGAATAGCAACCCTATAGGACGGCTCCAGAGGATTTTCAAGTGCACTGTCTTTTTGGGGAACAGAATGCCTCATCTTTTTCCCTACAAGCAGCTGCTGAGTTTTCCCACCTTGCCAAGGCTCCTCTATAAAAATCGCCAAGGGAGCAAAACAAAATACAAGGATTTGTGTCTGCAAAAATTGCTTGGGGGGGTGGGGGGGAATCTGAGGCTAAAACAATTCAGGACAGAAAGACAGTAAGATTATGGTACTATAATCGCAGAGGGGAGTATAACATAAGCTAGAAGAGGCAGTAAAAGTCAAAGTAAGGAGTCTTGTTTTTATTCTAATTTTTATTTTAACTGCAATGCAAAGTTCCTTTAAGTTTAGATCACAGAATTGCACCCACTGATACATATTTTAAGACTAGTTGTATGGAGGGTGAAGTCATAGGGAAAGAAGTGAACAAAGTAACAAATTAGAAAGTTGAAGATAAAGTAACAGGTTTCTGGGGTAAAGGGGTGGCAATAAAGACAGAAAAAGAGACAACCCAAAATCTAACTCGAAAATACAGTCAAATGGATTTGCTCAGAGTGTTGAGGGTGCGAACAGAGGGAACCAAAGGGGAAAATATTAAAGGGGCCAACTTCTCTAGCATCTGGATACATAGTAATCAGAGCTTTTCTGAGTTTGAGAAAGCAAGGTCAAGTTTGTGGGAAAAATTAAGATGAGTTTGACCTTGTAGGTTGCTTACAATTATGCATGACATGTAGCTGTAACCCAAATATACAACTGAGTTCCTTTATCAATGTAATTTATAGATTCCATTTGCTAAAAGAGATAGGAAATAAACTGTCTCACGCATCTTTATCCAAAATAAACACTGCATCTGAATTGCTTACAACTCATTGAGACCCTCTTAGACAGTGTAGATCTGCACCAAAGGGTTTCAAAAGCTGTAAGCGGCCTGCCACGTCTTTTCCTATGAAGCAACTAGTGAGACCAAGCTGCTGGACTTTCCCCATTTGTGACTGAGTGCTTCAATTACTGCACAACCAGGACTGCTTGTAAGGAATACAGGGAAAACAGATGAGACCTTTTTAATTATATAGAGTTCCTCGCTATATTACCATACTGAATCTTTAAGATATTTAACAACCAGCTAGAGCACAACTGAAGCTAAAAGCAAAAGTGGGATCAACAAAACATGTAACATGAAGCCTCAAAACACTGATTGTTTAGGATACTACTTGAACTAAGTCTTCATTGTTAACAGCTCCAGGAAGTCTGAAAGCCAGAATTTTGTGACAAAACTATTGTTATCCATATACTTAATAATCCTAAAACAACACCCCAAGAGTATTTAGTCCAGTTCAATTGCATGTTCAACCATTAAATAGCTGTCCAACCCTAGACAGGTTACCTTAATCTCTTTCAGTTTCATATTTTCTCAGGTGTAAAATAAGGTGAATAATGTTACTTGCCGCAAAGGTTAAAAATCAATAGCTTAATTCAATGTTTGGCACAACACAGTACAGACTCAACAAATGTTAGCTATCATTATTACTAAACTATGACAGTCTTTGGAGGCTAGCCATAAGTTTGATCCAAATGATTCTTGTATGTCAAACTCAAATGAACCAGCATACAAAACTAAGTGGTACTTTGGTTATCAAATCAACATACGTAGTCTTTCAAGAAATGGGTGGAAGGAAGGGGAGAAAAGGGGAACCCATCACCATGTTGGATATATAGCCCACCCTGCATGGGGACGAGTAACAGAAATGTGAGTGAAGGGACACAATGATACTATACAATTGATCAAGGATTCACAAGGGTGGGGGAGGGAGGGAGGAAAAGAGGAGCTGATACCAAGAGCTCAAGTAGAAAGAAAATGTTTTGGAAATGTTGATGGCAACATATTTACAAGTATGCTTAATACAATTGAATGATGGATTGCTAAAAGATTTGTAAGTGCCCCCCAATAAAATGATTTTTTAAAAAAAGAAATGCCAGCATTTTACTTAAAAATATTCCAGGAAAATAAGATTTAAACAAAATTGGCAAAACATATTAAACTACATCAATGAGAACTTGGAGGAAGTTCTCACTAAACTCTTCCAACTTTTGTTTACAATTTCCACAACTAAACATTTTTAAAGGAAGGGGGCGCACACACGACATTATGTCCCCATAAAGATTTAGCTTTGCGAACACTACACATAGGGTAGTCAACTGGAACAGTAGGACCGAGTTTATAGCCACTTATCTGTCTTTAGTCCAGTTTCTTGTCACTCAGCTAAAATGAACACATAACTTAAAGTCAAAATCCCTGCCACTCCTTGGCTCATGTGACCTAAAGCTGTATGTTTGAGCCTCCATTTAGAAAACGAGGAAATTCCATTTCTTGTGCTTCACAAGAGTCCAAACAGGGTAGTGGTTAGGCATTGAGTTGCTAATCTCAAGGTCAGTAGTTCAAAACCACCAGCCACTACAGGAAGGAGAGGCTTTCTATTCTAGTGAAACTCACTGCATGTACTCATGACAACCCTATAGGACAGTGTGAACTACCCCTATGGGTTTGACATGGTAAATCTTCACTAGTCTCCTTTGACATCATTTTCGTTATCAGAGTGAAGGGGCATTCCAGTGTTCACCAGTGAATTCATTAGTGTGACAGCCTTAAAACAAGATGCCACAAGCTCTTAATTAGGTTGCTTATAGGTACTGTTTTAATCATAAAAATCCCTCTTATCAAATTATGTAAGGAATGGGGTATGGTTACACACACAAAATAAACAAGTAGCAATTTGTCCTATATAAATGCACTTTCCAATCTAAACAGCACCTCAAACATTCAGCTAGAATCTAAATAAGAGAAATCAGAAAGTTTTGCTTTGCTTTAAAACGTGGGGGGGGTCTTTACGCCCACTTAAGTAGACATCAGTAGCACATCCGTTTGAGTCACGTTTTGTTTTCAACCATGTTTTTTAATACTAAAACGGTTAAAACACTTTTAGAAGTTGGTTTGATGTAAACAATTACCGAGGTTGCTGCTCCAATCGGATTAGATGGTAAACAAATTTTTTTTGTTGGTAGGAAAGTAGGGAGTAAACAAAGCCCATTTTAAGTTTGAAAGAAGGGCAAGATCTCCAACCTCAACTCGACCGGCCCACCGCTGTCTACCAATCTCGGGTGCCAGACGCCGGACGCGGAACGGGGGCTGAATCCCGGGCCGCGGGGGAGGCTGGGTCTCGGAAGGGCCTTTGGGCCGGGTGTGGCGGGCCTAGCCGGGATCCTTTCGCCGGGACAGCCCCCTTTGCGCCGCCCCCACCACCACCCAGGAAAAGCAACTCAACATCAGCTCCCAGAGGCGGCGGGGCACGCTCCCTTCCCACGGGCGGGCTGTCGCGGGATCTGGGAAGATGAGCCCCAGAGCCAACTTTCCCGCAACGCCGAAGGCCCGAG